TAAGTCTTGGAACAATACTTACAATGCAGCATCAACTATCAGCAAGACGATTGGACCACATATTTTTCGCTAGTCGAGTTTGCATATAACAACACCCTCCATGCGTCGACTCAATACACACCATTCTTTTTCAACTATGATATCATCCAAAGCTTGATTTATTGAGTCCGTCAACAAATAACAATCCAGCAACTGAAGGATTTACGAAACAACTATCAGAGCTTCAAAATATCTTGAAGCTTCAATTACAATCCGCTCAAGAATCCTACAAGGCGTCTACAGATAGATTTCGAAATCAAGCTCCTACTTTCAAAATTGGAGATAAATGATGGCTTCTACAATAAAATATCAAGACTAAGCGACCATGTGATAAGTTAGACTATCAAAGATTGGGACCATTTATCATACAGAAGCAAATCAATCCAGTGGCGTACCGTTTGGAATTACCGGCTTCTATGAAGGTACATCCAGTCTTTCATGTTTCTCTGTTAGAGCCTTATCGAGAGTCGTCTTTTCTTGGAAGAGTACAATGTCCGCCACCTAGTATTGAGATTGAGAACCACGAGGAATACGAGGTTGAAAAGGTACTGGATTCACGACGAAGGTGGGACAAGTTGGAGTATCTTGTTCATTGGTGGGGCTACGACATTAATGAGCAAACGTGGGAGCCAGCTGAAAATCTTGCCAATGCGCCGCAAAAGATACAAGAGTTTCATCAACAACATCCTTATAAACCTAAGCCGGTTCGACGATAGCTTCCTTCTGAAGCTTGCTCACCCAAGAATATAAAAAAGGGGGAGAGCACCACCAAAATTCATAGTTGATGTAGTTATTTTCTCCAAGATAAAATAGAATTTTTTCAGTAGCCATAGTTTGGTCTTTTGATATGGATAGCCAAGAGATAGATACTATGCCAGTCAGATTATCTCAACCGACTAGGTCACGAAGGCGACCCCGAGATGAAGAATTGCATACACCATGACGACGACGGAGGATACCGAGTAACTGATCACTGGTGATTGTATTTGAGTCCGAGCATGCTTACGATGGTCAGCAAGAAGGCATGTTTGCAGGACAATTTCATAATGAGGACACGAAAGTTCATGCTTGGTCTGAAGTTGAAGGAGTAGGTCACTATTGTTGGCTTCAAGGGCCAATGAACCACTTGCCTCGTGAATAACACTTGGAGTTCATAGCAGATGTTATGCGACACATCTTCATTTTCTTGCGTTGGTAGTGATCAACAACATTGCTTCTCAGAGACCTCGAAGCTAAAGGAGGGGATAATGTTAGGGACATAATCCTTAGAACCTTCTAGAGGCAAGTTTCTAAAACCTTCTAGAAGCAAGTCTCTGGAACCTTCTAGAAGCTTTTTAGTTGGTAGAAGATATTAGGGACATAGTCCTTAGAACCTTCTAGAGATAAGTTTCTAGAACCTTCTAGAAGCAAGTCTTTGGAACCTTCTAGAAGCTTCCTAGTTGGTAGAATTTGCTTGAGAAGCTTCCTAAATAGAAGTATATATTGGAATCGAGGCTGAAGAGTTCTTCAGTCTCGACAACACATCTCTTGGAGCTCTAGCTCACCTCTCTGGTGTTGTTCTCATCTGATTAATCTAGTTTTTGCCAGTTCTTCTTGAACTTCTTGTTAGATCTCGAGTCTGTATTTCTGTGTCCGTGACACTGTTCCTTAAAGTCCAATTTTTAAGACTTTAAACTACTTAAAATTCAAAAAACCTTCAATTCAACTATTTGATCAAGCTTAAACTTAGAGCATACATTCTAAATAACTATTCATATAAGTCCTCAAAATTTGAATTATAAATCTACTACCAAATTCACAAAAATCTCCAAAACGTAATATCTTTTTTATTTCACAAATTCCAAAATCACCCAAAACAACTATGACTTTACAAAGCTCTTACAAAGTCAATATACACTCAAACCACTCAAATTCAATGCCCAAAGAAATCCTATTAAATTTTTTTTCAAATCCCACTCTTTGATCTATAAAAAAAATCCCAAAGTTGCTATAGTTGCTAGGTTTTGTGCCTCAGGGTCTGATTTCGATCCAAGTTGATAATTGGTCCTATATAGATTTCAAATTTTGTCTTTTTGAGTTAATTTTTGTTAAAATCAACTCTTAACTTTTTTTTATAAAATCTTATATCCTTTATTTTTCTAGTATACCTTGTTTTGTCTTATTTATGGCCTTACAAAGTAAATAGAAGTCTATTTTATAAAAAAATAGCATATATACCTTTAGTTTTACTTTCTTTTCGACTTTTATCTATTTTGTAAGATAATTTGCTACAATATTTGAAGTAAGATATTTTATAATATAATAATTTCTATAACTCTTTCACCTAGTAGTTGTATTATATCATGTTAATATTCTATATGACCTCCAATACATATTTAATTTGCAAGACATGTATCTTAACTTGCAAGGCAAGTTTCTTGTATGTGTGCTACATTGTTAGTTTGTACCACAAGCTACCAACACATGCAATATATGGCTAATTTGTTAACCAATCATCTATAGACATGTATAAAGGTGAAATCACTTGTATATAGCTTTTAAAAAGCTTCTATATAAGATATTATCAAATTAATCTATTTTTATCTATTCATAATATCTAGGTATCTATTAGAATAAATATGTATGTCCATAACAAAAATTCATGGTGATTTTAAAATTATTCTTGAATTCTATTTTTATAGCTTGGTATAGAATTTTAAATATTTGGTTATAATGCCCTTAAGCATATGAATAGATTGGAATCTATAACAAAATAACTAATCTTTTGTCAAGATTAATCTTTCAAATTTAAGAAATAATTCTAATTTTAGAAATAGATATGTTATCACTATGATCTAAGAATATATTTCAACACTTTACAAAGTTGATATACAACCAAATCACCAATTTGACTAGAAAGACATGTAGACCAAAAATCAAACCAAGAAGGAAGATTTATTCTTCTAAAAAATAATGCTTAAAAGCTTATTTATAAAAGCATAAAGAGATTAAGTTAAACCTAAATTCTTTCTTAATTCTGTGCTCTATATTTTATAAACTACAAAAAAATCATATACAAGTTTTGGAAGTAAATAAGTCTAAAGAATATGAAATTGTAAAATATTATCTATCAAAAAAGTGTTCTTTGGCCAAAAAAATTGGAATATATATAAAAATAAATAAGTAAATAAATAAAATACAAGACCAAAAAATACTTATAATACCTCTTTTTCTCCAATTCAAATGTTTTAGTTTAATATGGTCATTATTACAAATCCTATGGATATGGAAAATATAAATCTAAAATAATACAAAATCCTTTAGGAAGAACCATGAAACAATACCAATTTAAAGAAACTAATTTGAATAAGATTAATTGAAAAATAAATAAATAAAGATAAGATCAAAAAATAATTAATGTGAAGTATGAAGTTCTTGTGTAGATAGAATAGAACTTAGATGGCATGAAAACTACTAGAATCAAAAGATATTAGATAGTCCAATAGAATTATGCTAAGTGGGATGATAATTCATGTTTTTTTAGATCTATAGTTTTAACAAGGTAAGATTTTATGTACATTAATACACACAACTATTGATGCTAAAACAAGAAGGGCTTATATCTAAATATTTTTGCTAGTCTAAGATGATTAACAATATTGTGTTTGTATCAAATAAATTAATTAATTTTAGTGCAATACTATTTCAAAACAAAGATTAGAAATCAATCAAAGTGAAGATATTTTATTCTATCTAATTAAAAACATATGAATTTTGACTTTATAATAATATAAAAATCAAAGTATTCACAAAACTAAACAACTATAAATCTCTAGCATTGATATGTCATACTTCTAGTTTGGTTTCAAAACCATTATCATATATTATTTGGAAAATTTCAAACAAAATAAAAATATAGTCTGACATCAACTTTTTAGCCAAATTAATGGTAAATAAAAAACAACCAATGTCACAATGAGATAATACATGCAAAGATCTCAATAAATTATCAATAGAGTATTCATTCAATAGGTAGATAAATGATAAGAAAGCAACATAGTGGAAGGATCACAATGACATGTCACAAAATCATTGTGTAGAAATAGCTAGTCACGAAACATACAAGAGTATGCTAATCTATCATTTTTCTTTTCTGTTAGATTATATTCACATGATTAGCAAAAAGTTAAAACATGCAAAAAAGCAGAAAGGTGAAAAAAAGGTAAGAAGGGAAGAGGAGATTCTTAGAGATGTGGGGCCTCTTTCAAGGGAATGGAACTACTGATCAGAATAATAAAACGTGGCAGCCAGATTGAGAGCTCCGTTATGGTGGTGGTGGGTGTGAAACGGAAGCCATTTGGCTCTCGTAGTTTCCAGAACCTTCAAACTGAGGTCATTCTTTGCCACAAAGAGTACAACTAGATAACTGATGGGGTTTATTTTAATGTAAAACTATAATACCATTAATACCCATAAATGTTAATATTACTAGTATCAGTAAAATGGGTTCCACTTAGGGTTACCCTTCGAGGGGCAATCGAATTCAGTAACATGAAATAATGGCACAAACCAACTTTCACCTCAACTTTTTCCCCTTCACAACAACTACCCTAATTGGATGTGGATGATATCCAGCATTAACTCAAAGTTCCATCCAAAGTAGCCATTCATGAAGCAGCACAAATATATAGAAATATATATATTGCTCACCACCCACAAACATACACATCGTTGTGGACTCACCTCCTAATATGGAAACGAAAACGCCCTCTAGAAGAAAATGTAATAAGATAAAAATAGAAATAGAAACCTCATCTGGGTTGTGAATTCACCCACACAAAGAACAGGGAGGTCGAATTCACCCACAAAATCCCAGCTCGAACGAACAAGCGGCGACATTCACGAGGACTAGGAGGAGGAAGGGGGGATATTCTCCTCTGCAGCATTTTTCCTAACTGGGGGGGCTGCCGAATGCCGTGAAACAGGGGGCCCGCATCGGAAATGGCGATGAGGAATATCTATAGAGAAAAAAGAGGGGGTGATTGATGAAACGACCAGGAGCAGCCAAGTCACACACATTAAGCAAATCTAGACTCCGAGGGACGAGGACGAAGCAGTCGCAGTGCCGAGAAGCGGTTTGGTTGAGAGGGATAGTTTTGGAGAGCGGCGCTATACGATTCTCACACAATCTGGGTGCTGCAGCAGCAGCTGCTGCTAAGAGGGGGAGCCAAGAGCGAGGAACCCATCTGAGGGAGCTTGAGCTTGTGAGGAAATTGTGTAACAATGGCAGCAATGGCGGCTGCGTCCGCGTTGGTGATGGGGCAGCAGCCCGCGTTGCACATGGTGCAAGGTGAGAGGACCAGTAGCGGCTATGCCGGGTCTGCGTCTATGATGCATTTGCGACGGACTGGGGTTGCAGCTGTTGCTCTGAGGCCCACATTTCGGCAAACCGCGCGAGGTTCCCATAGCCGCAGGTCGTTTGTAGCCGCCGCCGTTGGTGGTGAAGCTGGGTGCGTTCTTATCCTCTGCCTCTCCTGCGTGGTACTTGTTTCTCTTCGTAGTGTTGGTATTAGGCATTGTTTGATTAGTGCCGGTGGCTTGAGTTGGTTGAATTAACCCTGCTGCGGTGATGTTGCGTGTTGAATCTAGTGTAGGATTGGGAGTGATTTCATTCGAGGTGAACCAATCATTTGGTGGAATGTACGAGTGCGGAAGGGCTTTTGTCCCTCCGCGGTGTCGTCTTTGTTGCGCGGGAGCTGTGGCTCTCTACTTAGAATTCGTCACACTTAACTAATGTCATCTCGCGTCTCTTTTTCCCTCAATCCTCCGAGGTGGCCCATATCTAGCTGAAACGATGTCAGCTCTCGTCTTCCATGCCATTGAAACCCTTCACACCAATAATGTTCAAAATTTGCTACACTTGTTCTTTTCACGAATTAGTTAAGGGTTTCAGCTGGAAATATTTGATCTCCTCTCTCGCTCCTTGCGCTATTATGGCAAAGCACGAATGAAGCGCTGAAATTTGTGTAATTGTGTTGTAATGCTTCGTGGTTTTAACCAAAACAAGTGACATTTTTGTCACATTCAAGCTTCCCTTTGGTCCTTTCTTCTGCACCTCGCAGTGCAAACTCTCATGACCTAGATGAATGGTGTTCCAATGAATTCGTCTGACCCTATCCCTGCTTCTATTCTTGATTTTGGTATGTAGAGGCCTTAAGCTACTAGGTGATGTCCGGTGCACGGTCTGCTGCAGATGGAAATAACTATGTACCTTTCTATACATATATTGAGTCGTTTGCGTGTCGGTTCTTCCGGTGGGATGGAGTTCTGCTTGCTTTATGTTGTACTCTATATTTCTACATGGTCAAATTGATGCACCCTCACCGTATTGTACATTTTGACGTGAATCTCAGATTTGAGAACGAAGACAACGCAGCCATCGAGATCGAAGGCGATGGTGAGGATAGCGGAGAGATTGAAATCTCGGGTGTTTTGGAAGCCACCGAGGAGGAACCAGTTCTCTTGGAACCCCCGGCCAATTCCATCGATGAAGGCTATGTGGAAGCGCTCAATGATGGCACCCTGGAACCAACTTCCAACACATCCTCGGATTCAAGTTCGGAGGAGCAGTATGAGGATGATGACGTTGAGGATTTGAAGCAGCAGCTAATCGATACTCTCTATGGTACGGAGAGGGGCTTACGTGCTAGCAGTGACACCCGTGCCGAGGTTATTGAGCTTATAACGCAGTTGGAGGCGAAGAATCCCACAGAAGCTCCCACAGCAGCTCTCACTCTCCTGAATGGAAAGTGGGTTTTGGCGTACGTATTCCATCCTTTTCTGCACAATGAAAACTGAAAGAAACATTTAACTACTGTTGTTTATGCTTGTATACACAATTTAAAAGAATCAGGGAAATTTTGAGACATTAACAGCAGTTAATAATCATCATAAATTTAATCATGTGTAGACAGGGTACTTTGTGTTTAGTATCCTGAGGGGTACTGCGTTCGATGAAAAGAGCCAACAAAACTGCGGCTTGTATGGAGGCATTTATTTGGTTATATGTTTGATCATGTGTTTGAAAAGGCTAAAAGTATTCGTGAGTGTAGCCTGAAATTCTGGTTGGGGTGTAACAGGTACACGTCGTTCTCTGAGTTGTTTCCGTTGTTGGCTGCTGGAAATCTACCACTGGTGAAGGTTGGGGAGATCACACAGATCATAGATGCGCAGGCGCTCACTATTGAGAACTGTGTGTCATTCGAAGGTCCTGTGACTGCCACTTCTTTTAGTGCTTCTGCTTCGTTCGAAATTCGCAGCCCAAAACGTATTCAGGTAACAGACCAGGACATATGTTTCAAATGCTTGCAGAATCAGAAGTTTGTTCGTGCAGTTTTCCTTGAGAATTAATATGACGTGAAGTAACGGGAATGAGATAACAGACCCAGTTGTGATATTAGATTGTGAACCAGGCGTAACACTAGATTGATCTCAATCTTTTTTGTGTAAAATTCACTGGTGTGAGTCTTAAGTAGAAAGTCTTGAATCTCTACCTATCGTCCACATGCGTGGCACTTCGTATCCAGCAGTGAAAGTGCCTAGTTCAACTTGCGGCTAAGAGGTGTTTGTTGTGGCATCAGGTAAAATTTGAGGAGGGAAGCATATCCGCCCCGAAGGTTTCAAACTCCGCTGAGATTCCTTCAAGCTTGGACATAATGGGGCAGAAGATCGACTTTTCCGCCGCCAAGGGGTTGTTGAAACCGCTTCAAGACGCTGCTATGACAGTGGCTAGAACCCTCTCTGGGCAACCTCCGTTGAAGTTTTCCATCCCGAACGATCGGGCACAGTCTTGGTTGTTGACTACCTACCTTGATGAGGATCTTCGGATCTCACGTGGTGATGGTGGCAGCGTTTTTGTGCTCCTCAGGGAAGGAAGTACACTGCTTTATTGAGCAGCTCTCTGCGATTGCTGGTAGAGATAGCAATTCTTTATTTTTAGCCGCGACAGTGGTGTGCCATGATCTCTTTATGTTGCTGCAGCAACAGGTTGTCTCATAGAAGAGCAAATGGTTCTCTTTATTTTCATCCGTATATACTCAGCACGGACGTTCGTTTAGGTTAGATTAGCGGTGTAACGTGACATCTTGTGCAGTTGTACTGTAACTTTGTTAACTCTTTGGGGTTTTGCCCAGAAGAGGATTATATAGTAAAGTTGATTTAGTCATTATTTTTTCGGAAATGAAAGTGGATATTTTGTGGAATAACGAATAATATTTGCTTCATCTACTCAAATTCAACTTCACAACTTTTTGTTCCTATGTAGTTGATAAGTGGATTTCTTTTTACTTCACATCTCGTCAAAGCGAGTACTTAAATTGGAGAGTTGACACCTACGATAATCTGTTTTGGTCTGAAGATATTCTAATATTTTCTGTCATTGGCATCAGTAATTACTGATCCTTGTTGAATAATGTGCTACGGTGATGAAATAGCGTAGCAATTTGTAAATGTTGTGTACATAAAAATTTGTTGTTTCGATCAAGAAGCCCACGTGAATAATGCAACACTATATGTTCTCTTATCATGGGACATCTCCAGCTTGAGTTTTAAATTTTATTTTAACTCCAGTACATATTTAACTAACATGGATGTCCTAATGTCAATGAACAAAAATAAGACATGCAGACTTGTCAATAATCACAACCAAAATATGATGGTACCTTAAAATGAAACATACTCAGTCATATATTTATATATATATATATATATATAGATAGATAACATAAAAACGATTTGAAAAATATGATCCAGGTATCCAAAAATCCTACTGTAATAATCAAAATTATACAATCTAAAGATTATTTCTTCTGCCGCTGTTTTCTATTTTCGAAACATTCCGCCGCAACAAACACAATTGCACACTTGAAGCATGAGAATGGTCGCTTCGAACCCACCTGCTGAGGGGGTGAAGAATCACTGTACACCTAATATAAATGATCTGTGGGTTACATATGGTACATAACGCGGAGTCTGCCGATGATCTGCTCAAGGGTTTGCGGAGGGTCGCAGCAGTGCCTGCACCGCCTACCTAACTCTACCAGAAAAATTGAAGAATATGTACACAGTACAAGTCTCTCAGCAGTTTGGAAAACACTGCAACAAATGACACAAAGGGAGCTGCTGCGGTGGGCTCTAAAGTCTAGGTTGGTTCCATGGTGGTGTCTGCATAGGGACCAGCTTAGACTTCAGAATGAGGTTCGCGTACCTTGGCTTCCCTGTGTTAGCCTCGCCTCTAAGAAGAATCTTCGCACTCTCTCGCTCTCTCTACCTTCCCTACACCGCTTCGAATTTCATAGCGTCCGATACAGCCGGCAGGATCTCACAATTGACAACCTGTAGTATGCTCAACAAGATAAACTCCACAAACTGATCAATCCCCAATCAAGGTGATTGAGAACACTGCCAATTAGTCGGCTTGATTCACATCTTCCTCCGAAACATGAGCTCGGGACTGTCCGTCACCAGACCCTTGATTTGAGTTCGATTTTTTCAGTTCCTCGCCTTTGGGGTTGTCACATTTCCAGCTTGCGCTCTCAGACTTCGCATCCTCTTCTCCGGCGCTCTCATCGTGGTATGCTGCGCTGCTAGGTCCTTGGGTCGCGCCTGATAGCTGGCTTGTAACTTGCAGTGGTCCCTGAAGAATAAGCTTGTGGGTGTCAGATCAAGCAGGACTCAAATTTGATGAAGATTTCACAACCAGGGGGGCTTGTTGTTTCATTCAAGTTGAACAACTATATTTGTACATTGTAGGTTAGGGATCATGTGGCACTACCTGCGGTGAGCTTTGAGATTGCGATGTGCCAGCTTGTCGTGGCGGTTCAAAAATTGGTTCCCGGTGCATCTCCAATTGAGCACCTTGAGTACTGTTGCTGATACAAGAGTACCCTTGAGGAAGAGAAGTCGGGCAAAATTGGTTTGGTTGTGGCGAATGTGCGGCCGATGGGTTGTAGAACCCTGGCGAGGGCTGGGAACCGGATGCGGCGTACTGGGGTGGCACCCAGATTCCACCCAGCACAACCAGTTGCGGCGACTGCCCCATGCCCCCTGACTGCGGGGATGAGCTTGGCCTCCGAGTATGAAGCCGATATTTCTGCGCATCACAGTTCGTTCCAGACTAAGTCCATCCGTTTCTATGCAACATAGGCTGCAGTTATCGAAGTGAAAATGGCACTGACAGCCAATACGATATATTGGATTCTTATCCCGAAACATTCATAATCGCTCGCATATTGTGCAATATGGAAGTAGAGTATATACCTGCAGATGGCTCTTCACTTCGTCGTTGGTAAGGCCGTCGACCTTCATCAGCTCGCGTATTTGCTTTGGCGTGGCAACTGCACAACCACAGCCCGTGTCAGTGAAGTTGAATTTGTGAAGTTCGAATCCAACATAAACACCAGAACAAAATGCAAGGAGAATGCCGACACAGAGAAACTGAAGAAAGACCAATCTCGACCTAATTTCCAAGCAACCATCGGTACAGCGGTAGAGATTGAGGAGCGGGTGTTGCTCGTTGGTGTCATAGGAGTATAAATGATTAGGGTTGGAGTCATCGTTCAAGGAAGAAGGGGGAGAAGTCCTACTTTGTGATCCACCAAGCTGATGCAAGGCACTGACGAATCGGCGGTGAAGCTCCGGGGACCAACACCGGCGGGATTTTCTTGTAGGGTTCCCGCCTCCACTGGAGCTTCCGGCACCAGAAGTGCCATTGGACATCACCCCGATGTCCTTGGGGATCTGCACCTCCGGGGTCTGCAGACCTGCATCAATGCTACCGACTTCCGAGTCGGATGGTCTCAAGTTGCGACTGCTTGGGGTGGTAGTGCGTTCACCCAAAGAAAGACTCAAATCAGCTGCACTGGCAACCGTCCTAGGAGTGGGTCGGGATAGAAAGGAAGATGCACCAGGCTGGTCCCGAATGAATGGCAGGAACGCTCCTGCGGGCCGCTGCTTTGCGCTCAACAGCATCTGGGAGCTTGTTATCGAACTCTGCTCTCGCTCCGAGATCCCGAACTCGGAATGCTCCTGTACCTCCTTGCCCTCCCTCTACAGGATCCACATAGCAATGAGTCCACATCATTTACACAGAAACTTCAACCGATTAGCTATTCCACAACCTTGCTTAGCAATTACAGGAAAGGACTTCAAAAATACCTCACTGCATCCAGAACTTTGCCTCCACAGCGGTGCTTCCGTCAACCATGCCGGTCTCTTGCTCCCCCGAACCTCCTCCTCTACATCGCTGCTCTCACTTGGTTGATCTCGCTGCTCCCATCTTCTCTTAAATGGCATGAAATCTTCTAGCGTGGGTCGGCTACCTGGACTACTTGGCATGACATGCTGATTCCTCCCGCTGTCCATGGAGCCACTTCTAAGCTGCAGCGGCAGATGTTTCCCATTGACAAGCTTCACCTTCCAGGTTTTAATGGCTGTCATAACACGAACAATGCGTCAGCGTCGGCACCAAACATAAACATATAAACCACTAAAAAGAAGAATTTTTTCACATGAGGACACCGCACATGCTGTTGTCTATGTAGTGCCTCACCATCCTCAAGAAGCTGAATGCAGAGGGGAAGCTCTCGTTTGAAACCCTCTACTTTTCGCCGCTCTTCTTCCAGACTTCGCACGCGTTCCTCAACTTCCCGCAAGCTCTCCAGATAGTTCTCAGAATGCGTCGGTTCGTTCTGGTGGTTATAGTATCCATTACTACTGGGAGCTTGAGTGCTGCAACCTAAAGTAAGATCAACTGGCGAACCCATGCTTGCTCATGTACAGTCCCACGCAGTCTCCTGAAAGCATACGATGGACATGTTAATTCCAGATCTGAAAATCGCACACCCTAACAAGGTACAACCAATCTCCTAGGGTCTTACGTTTCCAAGTTCCTCCGACCATGAACAATTTGCTTAGATGAGTGGTGCTCAAAGCCAATAGACTCAATCAGGCGGGGTCACAGCCACGCGGAGATTGAAGTCCCTCCACGACTGGCCAACAGATATCCTTGAGGTTATTCCACAACGAATCAAATTACAGTTGCGAGAGAGGCAACTTAAGTTTGTTACACTGCGGGCTTCCGGTGGAGTGGACAATCATCCCCGGGTTCACGATTTAATTGTAGACATTCTCACAACACGACACAGTGAAGATGAGTGTGTATTCACTTTTCTTAGGATTTGGGGAAAAGGTACTTCGAGTCAGAAGGCAACTTATGGTTGGAAACAGATGTAGTTCTGAAAACGCAACCACGGCGTTTGAGTGACTGAGGTGCGGTTCGGTTCAGTGAATTGGGTACTGGAAAGCTCCAAGGGTCATAGCGATTCAGACTTGCGCTTCCGATGGCCACCAAGGTCCGTACAGGCACCGCGTTGAGGAGGTTATAACATCTCCAAGGGGGTAATTAGTACCTCACGAAATTGGGCCAAGCCTTGATGGCTCCGAGTTGAATAGTTACGAGAGAAACTACGAGGACTAGCAAAATTTTCCGACACGCTCGTCGAAATTAGATATCCAGCCACTCGTCTAGAAGTACGAGACGGCGCCTACACCTCAACACAGCTGTGTGCAAGCCGCCCTTGCAGACTTCCCAAATCATGTTTCTGCATCCCAAACCATGTATCTGCATCCTAAACCTCCTGTAAGTTACCCCTATTGAGCTGGACTGATAGGGTATTCCAACTTAAGCAACCGACTTGTAAGTGAGGCGTGGAAATGTGATTAGCGGTATCCAATGTACCTGCATGTACGCCACCTTCTACACCTCGCCTTAACTCAAAGTGCAAGAGTCCTCCTCGATCATGCATGTCCCATCCAACTGACCCAGAACACCAAACCCGACCAACAGACCGCCCAAACACGCACCTCTGAGGTCAGGCATTCCACACACTAATCATGACTTGGCGCTCAAAAACCAATCCCACGAGTGGGTACCAGAACCGCCAAAGTTTCTCCGCTCTCACCCCCGAAACGCAACCTCTACCTACAAAGGAACGCTTCCCATCCCCAGCGTTCGCGCCACTCCAGTGACGCCAGATCTCATGACTCTTAACAGTCGCAGAAAGGGCTCCCCCAACAGAACTGCACAACAAACCTGCGCGAAGTACACACACAGCCAAAAACCTCTCGACTTCCCTAACCTCGCCCAACCCAAATGAGACCGATCGGCACGTTTGTAGGGCTAGGGTGCGGATTGCTCGTAGGGATGGACTAGATCCAAGAGTCGGATGTGAGGAATCTCGACGTCGGCCGGGAAACGGATCGAATACGCCGGCCAACCGGAAACGGATCGAAACACGCGCTTTGATTGCTTGCTGTGGAGCTCCTGCCACACGGACCCCTCCTCTCTCTCTCTCTCTCACACTCTCCCTTCCGTCCTGCGGGTTTCCCATCTCGGCAGGCTATGGCCTGGTGGGACTGACACCCCGCAGCTCGGAATATACAGGTATATCCTCCGATGCCAGAATCGCGAATTCGGACGTCATCTCCCACGTTGTCAGAGCCTTGCGCTGAATATCCTCGCATATTCCTCGAGCACCTGAAGGGGGGGTTGCACCCGCAACCGAGCTCATACAAATTGGAATCGAGTCAATGGGCCACTGTCAGATTACGATCCCCTCATCCTCCTCCCCTTCACGATGAAAAGAATAAAGCTGACGCTGTTTTGTGGCTCTCTTCTATCAGTCTCAATTCGGTGTTCGATTCACCCCCACACTTAGGGTGGCCGTCACTTGGTTTTTTATTATTTTTATTTTTATTTCTCTTGTTGACTTTGAATGCTATTTTTGGGTGGGAATTGATGATAATGTCAAGTGGGTTTGTGGATATTAAATTCATAACGGACAAAATGAGGTATGTAATGTGTATGAACGTAGATCGTTGCACGGTGTTGTTACAGAGAATAGACGATGTGATGCTAATATTGAAGACAAAATGTCGATTGGAATTGGTAAAGATATAGGTAAAATAAAAGCATCTTTACAAATCTGATGTGATGAAACTTTGTGGCATTTTTGACAATTTTGGATATGAATTTTGGGAGGTTTTCAAATAAAAGTATTGAACATTCTTTCAGAAGAAAGAAATTTATGCCATGATGAAGTTGTGATCTTGTTTTTAACCAAAGAGCTGATTGTCTTTGCCAGAATAATTTCAAATATTATGGATAATAAAGTTAAACATAATAATGGTAATGATCATTTTGAAGTAATTTGGTCTGCTCAAATCTTAACTAGTATTGATGTTCGAAATAAAGCATATATACATTAAGTGTGTGTGTGTGTGTATATATATATATATATATATATATAAGCATAATCATACATAATTTTTTTATTGTGATGTATAATATGTTTATTTATTTATTTATTTATAAAATTAACAATATATTTTATCAAATCAATTATATCCATATTTTAAAAAATAATGATTTAAATTCACCTTTAAATTTCTCAAACATTAATAATCATAGTTTTGTATACAAATTGGTAGTACTATATCCTTGTATTTAACTTTATTCCACCTTAAGCTATACAAGATGTGTTAAAATGTGAGTGTGTATTTTTTTACATCATATATAAAATAAAATATACAGAAAAAAGTCTTAACTTAGAAGTATGTGTTTGTTGAAAATCTTACTGGAAATATATATATATATATATATATATTAAAATTTTACACATTTATATTCAAATAGATATTTAATAGATTTTAAACAGTGAGATAGGTAGTAGTAAGATAATTAAAATTTACTAGACAAGGAATAATAAATAAGGAAAAATAAATAAATAAACTCTTTTGAAGTTTAAAGAGATTGGTTTAGAGCAAGTCAATATTTAAGAAGTGTAAATTAATTTATGAAAAAATTTCATATTTTTATTTATTTTTATTTTTATTTTTTAACCAAGCATATGTAATGTTTTTTTTTGTTCTAAAAGTTATTTGTACTTAATTTTGTAAATTTATAATATTAAACTTATATTTTAAAGTTTAATATGATAAATTTATTTAAATGTTATAATACTTAAATGTTATTGCAAATTTTACATGCATATATAACAAAATAAAGTAAAATGTATGTGTTATTATTAGATTTTAGGTTTTTTTTGTTTACATAATTAAAGAAGGATCATTGGAGCAAGAGCTACTAAAAACATATATTGGATTCATTCAAGGATTCATAATGCTAGATCACATTTTAAACATATATTTGGTTGCTACACAAGAAAACAAATATGATATGGATGGAGTAAGCAAATAAATAATTCTTTGCCATAGTACTAGCTATACACTATTCATTGCTTATACAGATTCAACTTTTTCACATAAAAGTCTACTGGCCATAAATATATAGATGAAAAATAAATCCTATCTTCACATTTGGTCTAAATTTTATAAAAAAATGAAACTCTAGTATTCAAATCTAATGATTGTGGGTTGTATTATTCCAACTCTTCGAGAAGATTTATGTTTTGTGTGTTTGTTTGTTTTTTTACTGGATTCTCAGAATTGGGAGCCAAAAAGGAGCACAGATAGATGGACGCCTGCTTTGCACAGGGAGGCGAGGTAGCGAGGAAGAATTTGGCAGCGTGGGAGAAAGCGAGCAAGCAAGTAAGCATATCCTTGTGGATCCCCACACGGATCCCGCATTTTCTCGGCCCCCGAGGGACGATATGCTCGTATCGTCGCCTGTCCGTCGCCGGGATATTCCATGTACGTCGATCACATGCTTCCGGGTGTGGAAAAATAAAGAAAAAGATTGGGTGGATTAATGGCAGAAAATAGAAGCACTACTGCACCCCATCCCCCTCATTTTTATCCATTTTCTCATCGCCCTCGACATAGATTATTATTATTGCAGATTGCCGATTGCCGACTGCCACATGGGTGCTGCTCATTATCATCCTCATCGCCATCCTCGAGAGAGCTTCGTGAGCGGCTTTGCTTCCCCGGATCTGGTCCTCCCCTTTTCAGTTCCCCCGCTGGATGTGATCTAGCGTTTGTTGTACTTCGTCGCCTACAGTTGTTGAGATACACGTTCGTCGTATCTTTGTACGTTACTGTATATTGGTCTCAGTATGGTGGAACCAGACCGTGTGCATCTCACAAATGAGATGGAATTCCTTGTGCACTTTTTTATTTTTGTTGTAAAGCGTTCAGGTTGCTAAGTATGTGCTGATAGGGGTTTTTCATTTGGTGTGAAGATCGAATTGTCGAGAGATCGGTGGAAGTTTGTGACGGGGGAGCTGAGGGCTGTGGTTCATATGTACTAGTAATCCCGAAGTGGAACTATTTTAATTACCAGAAATGTGAAGAACTTTTATTTGCTATTTTATTGAAATTTCGATACCCTACGTGCTCAGGGTAGTGCAGGTACTTTCGTATGGATTGAAAATGATACTCCATCTTTCTGCAGCGTCATTTTTTCAGGAACTGCAGGCACGACCTGATCTTTGAACATGTGAGCAAGACTGGTTAGCCTGTGTGGTATCTAACTAATTATTAATAAATGCTCATTGGCATAGATGACACGGGCTTTTAATCTAAGCTTTCAAATGACAACATTAACTTTGTTATTCTCTAATTGTTCAGATAAGCTGGGATTAAAACATACACAAGTGTTGAAATCTTAGAACGTGTAACACTCGCTATGCTTTTCCCTGCTTCTGTAGACGAAAATATTATTTCGTGCGCAAGTTGTACGATAGGTCAGAATTTTGTAGCAAAGGAAGCACTGAATGCTTGCGTTAGAAAGGTAAAAAATCTGCTGGCTGGAATACCGCAACTTCGAACGTTGAAGGAGATGGGCATCTATCCCCTTACCTGCTCCGTATGCGAAACAGGAACTCTACTAACTGAGCTTCTCTTTCGCGGATATTCGCCATCGATTCTCAAAGTGTATTTATTTCTTCGTTCAGTTCTATCGTCCGATAATCGATGTTCTTGTTGCTCTCAACCAAGCATCTAATATATTATGAAAAAATTCCATAATTTAAAGGTTTATAAATAGAGGACTCATGATT